CTCTCTCTCTCTCTCTCTCTCTCTCTCTCTCAAATACAAATTTAATATACTCATACGCATACAAACGCACATACACACATACACACAAATACACACACATGCACATGCACACACATACATTCAAAAGTGCACACATATAATCTAGCGCTCCTGAGACTATTCTCTCGTTTTTATCATCACTGATATCCGTATCGCCTTCCTATCCCCCCCTCCCCCAACCTCTCTTTTTGCCACTACAAAAATCACAGAAACGTTAGCATTCTCTGGGCTCTGGGCAATGTTTTGAAATGACGCCATCAACTCAAGTCCTCATAATATTATTCCCGAAACGCTACTTTTTTCATGACGTATAAACTTTCTGCAGGCTCCGATGAGTCATCAAAAGTGGCCCTCCAGCCTCAACTCTCCTCGGCCAAAAGCCCCCCCATTTTGTCTACGTTGTATTAGGAATATAACCCCGGAACAACAAAAATCACCTCAGGGCGCCGTTTTGGGGGAAACTTGAGGGATAAGACGCGATATAAGAAACGACAAATGTGGCGAGTAAAAAACGAGCGCGCATGTTTTATTTTGTGCTTCATCTCCAGCATCGATTACTTTTTCCTGCTTCCTCTGGCGTCCCTAGCAGCCACAGAATGAGAAGGTTATGGAATGATATAGCGCCATCCACTGATCCCGTATAACGCTGGACAATACATCACCACGAAAATGATATCGCATCCTTCGTTTGGAGTCCCCAACCGGAACGGCTGAATTAATCATGGAGATTATTCTCTTCCGTTCTCTCCTTCTTTCTGTCTTTCTGTACCATCTCTCTTATTTGGCTCTCATCTTCTTCTCCTACTCTTCTTTTCTTTATTCCCTCATATTTTTTTTATTTTGTTATTATATCCCTTTCTTTCCTTCTTCGTTCCTCCCTTATCCATTCATTCCTTGCTTCTCCCCCCCCCTTTCTCTCTCTCTCTCTCTCTCTCTCTCTCTCTCTCTCTCTCTCCCTTCTTTTTTGTTACTCCACCTCTTTCTGTCATAGATTGTTTACTCCTTTCTCACACTTCTTTCGCGGGTGGTTGGAATGTAGAACTGGTATAGGTATAGGTCCTACTTCTTCACTTTCCCTCTTTCGTTTTTGTTTCAGTTTCTTAATGTTTCCCCAGCACTTATAATCATTATTGTGCCGATGTGCTTCTCTTTACTCAAACAAAGAAACAACCAGTCGAACAAACATACAAACAAACACCCTTTTTACATTTAGTATGTCCTTCTACCTTGCTTTTCCTTTTCTCTCTCTCTCTCTCTCTCTCTCTCTCTCTCTCTCTCTCTCTCTCTCTCTCTCTCTCTCTTTCTCCCTCTTCCCCCGTCTCTCTCCATCATCATTTTTCACAGCTCTCTACTGTTTCTTAATACGCAAAGAACTCTGTGGGTTTCCTTTTTCTTTAACTTTTTCATTCTTTCCTTTTTTGTAATTACCCGCAGCGTTTATGGCTATCAAAGATCCGCCAGGGCGAGCGAGCCGGGTCATAATATCTGCAATATCAGTCTGGCTTCGCGGAGCCCCGGTGGCAGCTCGGCTCGCGCGTCATCATGATTTCTCTGTCCCCGGACGCATCCTCCCGTCTCCGGGATTTCGCCCATGCCCTGATTTACGCCCTTTTCCAGTTGGCCTCGGCCCGATACCGCACCCATCTTGCCTCCAGCTTTCTACATTCATTTTCGTCATTGCCGTTCTTATCGACGCCCCGATCTATGATGAGAGTATGAGCGTCGCTGGCCTCTAAAGAGAGTTTGGGTGTGTGTCTGTGTGTGTGTGTGTGGGGGGGGGTTCTTCTCTCTTTGTGAGGGGGTGGGGTGGGGTGCTGGGTTTTTGTTGTTTGTTGGTGTTTTTTTGGGGGGGGGGGGGTTGTTCTGGGGTTTGTTTGAAGGGGGGAATTGGGGGGGTTGGGGGGGGGGGGGGGGGGTATTTTCCCAGAAATGAAGAAACGAGCGCCAGAGGGGCCCCCACACTGACATTTACTGAGGAATAAACAGCGATAAAGAACGCACAAAGAACATTTTACGCGAAGCTTTTAATATGGGGTGGTTGCTGGTCGGTTTATTTTCTTTTTGCTGGTATTTTTCTGCTTTGTTTTGTTTTTCTTGGGGGGGGGGGGGGGGTTGTTGTGTATTCTGTTGGTGTTGTTTTTGTTTTATTTTTTAATGGGCTTTTTTTTTCGTTGTCTTTCCTTTCTTGTTTTGTTTTTTTACGGCGTGGGTGGCCGTATTGTGATCTCAGTTGATTTTCCGTGTTTCTCATACGTATGTTACTTCGAAGTTGTTTTGTTTTTTTGTTTATTGATATGTATAGATTGGAGCCGTATTGATAGAAACATAAATGTAAAATTCTGAGACAGACAACCAGCAACATACAGAGAGACAGACAGACAGACAGACCGACAGATCAACAGACCGACAGACAGACAGACAGACAGACAGACAGACAGACAGACAGACAGACAGACAGACAGACAGATATATAGATAGATAGATAGATAAATAGATAGATAGATTGATAGATAGATAGATAAATAGATAGATAGATAGATAGACAGACAGATAGATAGATAGATAGATAGATAGATAGATAGATAGATAGATAGATAGATAGATAGATAGATAGATAGATAAATAGATAGATAGATAGATAGATAGATAGATAGATAGATATGGGAATTCACCAAAATATGAATAGGAAAGTCGTTAACATTTTTCTGTACCAGTACCAGTAGATAGTTAAGCTTCAAGGGACAAATGAAAGTTAATTTGCAATTCTAAACGCCTCGGTGATTTCCTGATTGGGGCGAAAGCTTTTCTCAGAAGCCTGAGCAGCCATGTATTAAATACGTCATTATTATAGAATAAATTAAATATAAACGAGGAGTTCAGAAAGGAGAAATAATTAAGTGAAAAAAAGTTCTGACTGGAAGGAAAGAATCGACGCTGAAGATGGATGAAGTTGTCCGCCAACGTCTGATTATTCAAATTTTACTTCCAAAGCGTCGTCAAAGCAGTTATTACCCGACGCTTGTTGGAGCGATTTTTGCCCATGCAAATTGACCAAAAGTCTGGAGATGGAAGAAACTCATTCCAGACCCGTGCTGAGAGACTGGCGTCCGATTTCTGCAAAATGTCGAGGGCAATGACGAGGGGCGTGAATATTCCGCCTTCTGTGACGGTGGTCTGACAACCCTAGACGCGTGGAAGCGGACCTTTGCCGCTCTTCGAGGCGGTGACTCACCGCCAGCCCCCGTGACCAGACAAAGCAGGCGGCCGGCCAGGACCTCTGGCATCGGTCTTCCTCAGAATTCATGAATATTCATTACAGTTACAGACGACGACACCAACAACTGAAAGGGTGGCGATAATGAATAGAGAACACTTGGCAGACAGCAAAAGATACTTCTCGTATGAATACTTGATGCAGAAAAGGACGAGAAAATCATGTAATAAGGAGAGTTGCAACGGTCACATTTCTGTGTCTGCATATATTAGAGAGGGAAATAAGAAAACTTGACAAAGACTGATTCAATCATCAGACCAGAGCGTCTGTGGTCCTGGGTACAAATTACCAAAATTGGTTGGTATTTTGCAACGTGAGAGTCTTATGGGAAATCTTCCGAAAACGAACATTAGATATTGGTGTTTAGTTCACTCGTGAGAGGCGCCAAGACAAAGAATTACTGGCTGAAGAGGAATGTGAGGAGAATAGAATTACTGTTCTGTAGGGAATTAGTTTTGTTACTTGTATTATCACAGTCATGAAAACTTGCTGTGACAAAGTTGGGACCTTGAGAAATGATTCTAGCGAGAAGCTTGGTTTTTTGTTTTTTTTTTAATCTTCTTTGCTCTGTTTGGGTATGGTGCCTTTGCTTTTATGATTATAGGTCTCTCAATAACATAAAGTGAGTCCATCTTTTTAAAAATCAAGTAATCTTTCTTTTATGGTATTATGTCCATTGTGTTATGATAATAAAAAGAAAATATGCTTGCTTGCTTTAAATGGGATTTTACGAAAACGAAGAGCATCATTCAAATACAAAAAAAGTCAATAGATTAAAAAAAGGTAAGGGGGAAACTGAATTTCGAAGTACCTCTTGTCAGCCCTTAGATTTAAAGAAAAAAAGACGACACGAACTCTTTTACTTTTAGGAGTATTTCCTTACAAATGCTGTAAAAAAAAATTTAAAGAAAAGGACTGTTTGAACACTTTTGAGTTTCTATTGGAATTGCTGCAACTGCAATTCGAGCACGCTCAGATACAACTGACAGCAGAACAACTGCGCTCGCTGTCACTAGAATGACAAACTACAGTACTATAAATTGTTCTTTAAAAACACGCTGAGGAAAACGTAGATTATGTACAATTGTAATACCATTGCTTGTCTACACGGTTTTATTGTTATTACAAATAAAAAGTTAATGAATTAATGTTGTCATTCTTCCCAACATTGACCCTTTTATTATTATATAATTATTAATTTGTTTCCTTTTTGTGGATTTTATTGTGGTTTTTTCTTGGGTGGAGGGGGGTGGGAGGTGGTTTGTTTCTGTTTCTGGGTTGTTTGTTTAAACCCAGTCTGTTTGTCGTGTTCTTTGTGGTTTGTTTGTTATTTTTTTTTGGTTTTTTTGTTGGGTTGTTGGCTGCTGACTGACTAACTCTGCTGGCGTGTATAACAACGCTACAGAACACAAAGAAGGAAAGCAGCGCCGGTTCTCGTCCTTCGATCGGTGTATCCTAGGAAATGGACGCATTCGCCATGGAGTGAAACCACGCCCTGTTCAGGCAGTCAGCTAAACATTTTAACTAATATTCAACTAAAATCTGCTCTGATTAATTACACTTTATTTCCAGCTCAAAATTTAAAAAAAAACTGTTTTATTTCTTTTTTCCCAAAAGAGGCTTATTTCGCTTCAGGGCGTTTCTTTTGTTTTTAAAAGAAAGCGTGTTTTTTTCTACCTCTTGAAAAGATCCTTTTACCAGAACTCTGCCGCTTATTCTGTTTAAATACTGGATTTTCGCCACTATCAGGGCGTCTGTATAGCTCTTCCTCCCTGAAAGGATCTCTGCACCATTTCCCAGCCACGCACTGATGCTTCGTTGGCGCCACCCTCAAGTGGCGCCCAGGGCACGTGCCACGTCTGTGGCCTCACTTTCGGTACGCCACTGTTCTCCGGGGGAGAGAACACAGGTACAATCATTTCATAATATGTCGTCGTGCTCTGTCCTCATTGTCTCGCTGGCGGCGGTGTATCGTATCGCCTATCGGCGCGATCTGATCCGACATGACTCTGTTACGTTCACCCGGAAGTCCCCTCTCGTGCTGTAAGCCTGCCGATGCGTGTGCCGATCTCCTTTTGTTGTGGGCTCACTTTCCTCCAGCGCGCGTGCGTTCGGGCGGGGATTCGCTTCCTCGTGACAGGCGATAGGAGAATTAACTCATTGAGTACTCGCATTCTGGTCATTGGATAACGCCGAAAGACTTCTTGGTTTGGGGGGGGGGACTTTTTTAAAAAGTACATAACTTCGTTCAAACAGATTTTTCAATTCGTTTGGCTTTATCTAAGACTTAGATAGACAGATAACAACATGCATCTTATGAAATATGTACATTCATGTTGCTGATTTGTGTATGACGGTTCGAAAAAAAGGGTTGGAATCTTGTCTTTAAGTCTGTCGCTGATCAGGCATAATATTATGTGTCCGCTACGTCCTAAAGTAAAGAGTTAAGGCGGGCTCACCTTCCCCTGCGCGTGCGCTGAACAGAAAATCGCAGAGACGAGAATCTAGGAAGGCGAAAGGAGCATTAGCTAGAGGGTTGCTTCAGACAGCTAGTTGTTTTATTGACTCATAGCCTCTTGTCACGGGACTGATGGGCAGGCGAAATCTGTTATCGCCACGTGGTGGAATCAAGCGCTTGTCAATTTTTGGACATATATAATTATTAATATTATCTTACAGCTTGTTCATATGTCTTGCATTTGGCGAAAAATACCCATCCACTTAGAATAGAAATCGGGATATTTGCAATTGAAGGAGGTGGTAATTGCCTTGTGTAAGAGGTAAAATTAACAAGAACATGGCCGCCAAAGTTTGGATACTTTCAAAGCTTCAGTGCCATTGGAAACAACAAATTTAGATATGTGTGTGCCTTTATTCAACGTTTTCCGCTAACATCCACACAGAGGTGTGTTTTTAGACTGACATAAAAAGAGTTGAGCCAGTTTTTTAAAAAATTGAAAAAAAAAAAAGAAAAATTGAGCAAAGCCCGGAAAAATCCCGGTTTCTTTGATTTCATTATTTTGACCAACGCCTGATTTCACCGCGCTGCCTCACAATGACGTCAAAGACAATGAATGTATCTTCGCCGGCCGGCGAGCTCGTTGCTCCACACTTCGTTGAAAGCTTTTAGGTATTCTTTAGCTAAAACAACACCGCTTTCAACTTAGCCTGAAAGCACAAAGTCATTAACTTTCTCCCAAAAGGGCTGTGAAAGGATAGGGTGTCTGTGATCCTACCTCTTCATTTTCAAAGTATAAAATATTAGCAATTATCACGATGCTCAGCTATACTATGACTAGAAATTTAAGTTAAAAACCATAATATTATTATTCAGCAGTAATAAAGTAGTAATATTTTATTTTAAAACCGACCTGGAATTTTACGATTCTTCAGAATTACTTCAGTTACGTCTCACTTTTCTCTTCAGCGTATCTCGAATTAGTCCTGTGAAATGAATCTGGCAGTCCCATTGGCATAGAACACATGAAAAAAGCTCGGTGTGTTTGAGTTTGAGGGTTGAGCGACTGGAGTCCTCACTGGGCTCATCGTAGACTTATACTGTAATATCTTATAGTAAGTGTTTTACGGCGCTTGCAACTGCCTAAGGTCATATGAGCGTTGTGTTAGATCTGTATCTTAGACTGTGCATTCTGGTGTAATTTCAGTTGACCATGGAGCCCATTATTTGACACAGTTTCGCACCAAATAAAGGGTAAGGAGGAAATGGTTGCCCGCGCACTCGACCATAGCGAGATTAGTGTCCTGTCCTTAATTTGGACACCAGTCATGGTGTGTGCGCACCACCAGTGCAGAGAGCAGGAAAGAGCGGCGGCCATGTCAGTGCAAGATCTAGGAAATTATCATGATTTAATATGTCTATGGTACCAACCGTGACTGCAGCTTTATCAGTGTAGATTATCTCAACAGAAATAAGATACAGTACGATCGGGTTCTATCGTCTTCCGATAAGCATTCTGTAATTCAGGTGTTGCGTGGGTTTAAAAGGGAGCATTCAAATATCTCATCTGATTGGTCCCATCTGTATTATGCCCAGTGCTAAAATTTTTCCTCAAAATGCCAAAAGTGGCATCCCATGTTTTTTCCTTCCACCCTTAATTGTGTGTGCGTGTATATGCACACACACACACACACACACACACACACACACACACACACACACACACACACACACACACACACACACACACATACACACACACAAACACACATGCTCACACATATGTATATATATAAATATATATATATATATATATTTTATTTTTATTTTATATATATATATATATATATATCATATATTTATATGTGTATATATATAAATACACATACTACTTATACACACATTTTATAATAATATACATTTATACATATAATACACACATATTACTATAATAATGCACGTACATACATATTATATATAATAAATATGCATATATATATATATACAAATAATACATTATATATGTACACGCTATACATAATATAAACAATTTATATCAACTACATATACATGTATAATGTTATTATTCATCCCCACAAGCATGAAGCATGTGCAGTTCCGCCCACAAAGCTAACAACGTAAATATAGGAAGCAATCCTTGCCTTCGCCTCTCGCTGCCGCTATATCCGCTCTCTGTAGCATGCAGTAATCAACATCATTAAAAATAAATAAATCTGAGCGTAAAAACCTCCTGCTCATTGACGCGGTGTCAAAGGTTAAGAGGGTACAGCTGGCTACAGGATAGGGCGGGGTGCTCCATAGAAGTGGGAATGGGACAGATGGCGCTTTTAGCCTTTGGGTCTGGCAATGACAAATGTTTCGAATATTTAACATGATGAGGGTTTTTTTTCGGTTGTTGTTGTTTTGTTTTGTTTTTCTCTAAGATACCAGACCTCCATCTTGACAGCCATCTCCGATAGAACGAAGCCTGACATGTTGAGAGAAGAGTTGCTACTAGTGGTGAAACGTTACGAGGACGAATATGTAAGTCT